CTCACCACATCAGCTACTATTGATATTAACGTATCATTGTTATTTTTATTCTTCAATTAAAATAACTTTCGGCCTCCTATCGCAACTTTTCCTACTTCTCAAATAAAATTTCAATTTCACTATTTGTATCATTTATAACTATTTCGGATTGGAAATAAATAATAAACAAATAAAAAGTGACCGAAACAATAAAAAATGAAAAATCGACCAGGTCGCTATAACTTGTGTATTACAAACGACATGTGTCGTTTCAATTCAGGAGTTTCGCAGCGCACAATTCGGTTTATGCAGGAGTTTGATTTCGTCCCGTCGTATTTGACGGATTACGTTTTGAAAATAAATAAAACAAAACCAATTTAAATGAAAAAATCCATCAAATGATATTTTTAACCCAACTTCACCACTACTCGCAATTTTTAAAAGACTCCGTGAACTGAGTTCTCTGCACATCATCTCAGAATCCATCGCCGAACAGAAACTAGTTCTTGAGCGGCGCTCATGGGCTGCAGATTCGGATAATTCTTCACGCCGCTATAAGAGACAGCTGGTTATAAAAATAAGAATTCTGTTAATTAAAAAATAATAATGCAAAATTAACATTGAAATAATATACAGATATTTCTTACATTATATTGTAAGAAGGCACACTGCGAAAATCTCTTTCCACAAACTAATATGAGCACCACTGTGGGTATGTAAGACGTTGGTGTGGAAAAGAGCTTAAAATGTGTTCCCTTATTTTATGCATTTTGATTATTAGGGGAAAATTTGTATCTCCTTTAATTTTTAATTAACACAAACATTAAGAAATCTACGTATATTTCTCGCAAGTACTCAATTAACTCATCTGCCAGATCCTACTGATACAAACTTAATGCATCGCCGAGGATGACGCGGATGGCATCAACTTAATAAGCGGCTGTGACGAAATGGAAACAGCTCGTCACCACACACCCACTTTGCGTTGTAAGTTCTAATCTACCAGAGTTCTAATCTAGTATGCTCTAATCTAATGGAGCTTTCGCAACATCCAACGTGCTATCACGGATCCATCTACATACATTTTCACAACGGGGGCAGCATTATCTTCTACAGGACAGTAACCATGAGACCTACACACATAGGAACATACAATAATCCACATTGCACACTACATTGCTGACTACTGCCGTTATCTACATCGACCAACCTGTTCTGAGTATCAACACTATTTCACAACCGCAGACGCCGGCTCAGAAAATGTTTGCACAATTACGGATCTATCATCGACAGGAAATACGGTAACAGGAATTGTAATTCACTGAAACAAAGTCACGTTGAGCTTTTGTGACCTCACCTATATTATTCCTATATTATTTATACCTATATTATTTACTTATATTATTCACCTATATTATTCATTTATTGAGGTTTAGGGGTTCTTCATCTGCTGAGTCATTGAGGCTGATATTTTAATGAAAAGACTATCCCTGATTACAAGGTATCTGCAAAATATTCTGTTCAAATTAAACAACGGGTGAACACGAACAGAGGTTTTTCTCTTGTAACAGTTTAAAAAAATTGAATAACTAGGTTTGATGGAAACGCCTGAACTGCAGTTGAAAGTGTCGCTCGAAATACTTCTAAATACAGTATATGTCATTCCCATACTCACTCACTCTAAACATTCACTTTTTCTTTGACCCAATGTGATTTTCTATTTAAATACCAAAGATATTTCCCTTCATAATGAAATAGAATCCATCTTACAGTAACAATTTTTAAATTTTCATTCCTCTGCAGCATTTCTCATAGTGCAGCGTTTTCCATCGATTCACAAAGTGTTTATTGCTTCATTTTAAAACACAAAAGCATTGCAATTACGGTGTTGAATGGGACTAAATATACCCACCCGAATACAAAATTGCCGATTTCTTCTGGAAACTAATAATGTGTGAAATTAAAACGAGTATTATGAAACTAAATCTAATCGTTTACCAACTCACGGATATTTTGAAATATTTTTATTCGTTTGCCGTTTAATTACTAAAATTGCATTTGCAGTGGGCGACGATAACAAAATACGTATTAGGTAAAGTCAATTTTAAAAAGTCATTGCTGAAACTTCAATTGGAACTCGGGTTATGCGTTTCAAAGGCAAATGTCGTCCCTTGAACACGACTGACGTAACCGCAGATAACTGAGGCATTAAATCCGCTTTCCCTGTCGCTGTGAATTAATTACCTGAGTTTTCCGGAGCAATGAGTCGGAACAGTGGGCTTTATAATAGTAGTAATTTACAGACCCTTGTCATGAACGCTCTAATTAAAAGATGCTGACACTTCGCTTTGTCGTCTCTCGTCTGTTTTAGGAAGTTCCACTCTGAGCAACTGCTATAGCGACTTCCATTCTTTAACGTTATTACTTCAATGGCCTGGTTCATAAGCCGGACCCTCTAGATGAGGGACAGAGAAAGAAGTATATGAAAGTTCTTCGATTCTAAGTATACCGAGAGGAGTTTGGCGAAGTAATGAACTATGTATGCGTCTCCACGAATATGCCTCCATATCCAAAAATAATTAATAGCATTTAGGTTTCGCGGAATGAACGTAAAAAAATCTATTAGGCAATGTAATAATAATTTATTGTAATATTTTAAAAGTTTGTAATAGGTAAAGCTGTTAATTTGATATTGACTACAAAATACACAAAGTACGCACTTTAGTAGAAAATGAATTTAAATGACTTACAATGGATTTATCCTAAAGTTGATAAAAGTCGCTTAAAGATAGTAGCGGGGCACAAATTTTGAAAAACACACTATTTGAATTAGGCAATTAATTACGATCGTTTTCTACTAGATATCAAATATGAAATCGTATTAGTCGTCGACTATTACGTTTGACAAACTACTGTTAATTCTGAATCTTAACTCGGAACCAGTTATTAAAGAGACAGACTGGGATTGGTACAGGGACTGGTATTCCCAAGCACAAAATGTTGTTGGGTTTATCTATCGAAAAAATGCTCCAAATTTACTAAAACAGTTACATACAGTTTATAAAGATCTTCACAAAATATCTTAGTTACGCAAATAAACCGTGTTAAGCACATTTTTGTCAATCTCATATTAAAGAAATCTTTAGGAAATTAATTTCCATTGTAATCGAATGCCGTAAAATACATTACTGGAGTTTATAAGCGAACAAAGACACATTACATCGACAGAACTGCAGAGATCTCAGAGCTTCATACATACATATCAGATTGCCCGCTCGCTCACATGATGACAGCATATTCGCTTTGAACATGCGTCAGAGTCATCACTGTGTACAGCGGCCCCGCTTTAGAATTCGCTCCGGATACCGTAAAGTAAACCAACACTGTTTGCCGCTCATTGATAGGGCAAGCACAGCTCGTCATCCCAGAGCGCAGGTTGTCAAGTATTAGGGACGCACGTTTTAGCGGCGATGCCTAAAGGTCAAGGCAACCAGAAGAGATAGTGTAAGACGTACATGAAGGGTTTGATGGACGATTACGAAGTCTACAAAATATGTACTTTTTATGTCTAAATCCATAAAAAATCTACAAAAGTTACTGATTTGTTTTCGCGAAATTTCATCTTCTTTTTGGGAAGAAGTCATTTTGACTGCTTTAACAACTTACAAATTTGAGTTAATATTACTCAAAATTGATTAAGATAAATAATTTTTAGTTATAAGTTATTTACAAATCAAGTAGTCTCTCCATGGATTATTTAAAAAAATATAGGTGAGTATTCTGACAATATTTTGCTCATTTGGCAATTTTTTATAGAATTTACAGAACAATTTCACAGGTAGTAGGTCATGCCACTAGTACTTCTTCCAGAAAAAGTACACATAATTCCCTAATTATTGTTCAAAACGGATTAAGTATATCGTCAATAGCCTCTCTCTTTTCTAAAACTGGCTAACATTTAAAAGGGTTCAACCTTGCATGAAGAATTAGCCTTCAGCAACACTGTCCCTTGCTTAATATCAGTTGAGTTTATTGAACAAGTCGTAGTCATTGGAGATCGCAAATAAAAATTGCGGACCCATTCATACAATTGTTCACCAAAGAAAAAATGTTGAATATTGGAAACAATAGAACCTTCAAGCCGTAATCAATATGCAGTGAAAGGATGTGGAAAGTGGAGTTCACAAAACTGACGAAGGAAACAAAACAGAAATTAGAAAGGGAAAACAAGGAAGAGAGAACAGAGACAGAAAGGGGATAGTAGAGCGGGGCTAAGAGGACAATCAATGTAGTACATTCGAATTCAAAACTGCAATAAACCCCAGCAAAATAACGACTTTCCTAAAGTATTGATATTAAATTGTTAACTTATTTTTTCTACTGTCAGTTCTTTCTCTTTACAGACGAGCATTTCCCGATGGAATGCGACCCAATGCCAAGAGAATATTTCCGGAAGATGCGCCGGGCATTCATAAAGCAAGATGAATTACTTCGTGCGAAGCAAAAGCTACAGTCTTCCCCATATTAGATGAACAAATGTTTCTTACATCATTTTGCCGATAAACACTTAGACACCGCACATCAGTTTGTTGAAGATTTCTCTTTTCCCATTATGTCGAAAAGATTCTTGAAGTGAGTTGAAAGGCTGAGAATTTCTAAGTATTCTTGAAGACAAAAATTTACATTTTTCAGATAAAAAACTATAAACTGCAAAAGAGTTAATTGCCAGAGCTGAAGTGCATATTACAACACAGTTTCAAGCGCGTCCCCACGATCGAGCCAGTCTTTAGGCCGTTAAAGCTTGTTGTTTGCTATTTACAGCTATTCTCTACAAAGTCAACAATAGTGCTTCTAACCTTGGGCCAAATTAAAGAAACCGACTTTCTAAGAATGCTTCTGGTGTGCAAACGGGAAAGGAAGTATTTGTTGTTAATGTTATAAGCAGCACACTGATGTGTTTTTAAACGAATAAAGTGATTCATCCTGCAAATGCACAAGGGACGCCTCCCCCCCCCCCGCTCCCCGCGATGTCGATGGTGGGTTGGCGGCGATTTCTGCCCCGCGTATCAGCCATTGCTTCCTGGGCCGTCGCCCGCGATAGCAGCCCTTCCGCCTCGCAGCAGTCGCTCGTCAGCCGCAGCCATGGCCGCTGCGGCGCTCGCCTGCCTGCTCACCTGCCTGCTCGCCGCCCTGCCCACAGGTGCGTACCGCTCACTCGGGGCACGTTGCGAAATGAACTGAGCATTGTGTTATGCTCTCACTGCGATGCCCTCAATTTAGCTATAGATATTTTGTTATTAACATACGCAGCTCATATTTGTCACAATACTGATGATCTCCTAAGTTAATGACCATTTCGGTAAGCAACAGCGGTCTGCGGACATCGGTCATGTGTGCGCAGTCTTCGTTCCTGCTCTTATGAAACCATTGACTCAACCATTGACTCAACCATTGCAACCATTGCCACCATTGCATGAACATAACTAAATAAACACATTAGTGCAACAGTATTGAGAATTTGAAGAAAAAACAAAAATGAAAAGAGATCAAATTATCTTATAAAACATATGAATATGTTTGCTAAGATACATTTTTAGACGTCATAATTATTTTTGTCATGTAATACCACTTAATTTTTACATTTTTATAGCATGTATTATATTGGGCGACGAGTGCAAGAATTACAGTGACTGTGCGACAATTGCGAATGCTGCGTGTGCACAAACTCGTCGCTGCGAATGCAAGTTAGGATACAGCGCCCTCAACAAAACAGCTTGTGCAAAATGTAAGTAATCTACTACGCATGCCATTGGCAAAAAATCGATCACTCTACTTCAACTAAAGGGTAATGTTTAAGAAATATAATAAAAAATGTATATCGTATATTTAAAACTTTAAAGACACTCCCTATCAATTTATTTAAATCTTTCACACTTCATATTTCTTGTTGGTTTTAGTAATTGGAGATCCATGTGACAACAGTAGCTCCTGTGACACATTGGATTCTATTTGCCTTTGGAGAGGACTGTGTGGCTGTCGCACAGGAATGAAACACAACAGTAACTACACGTTTTGCTATGCAAGTAAGTACAAGTTGCAGAAACAATAAAATAATTCATAATGCATTTAATGAAATCAGAAAAACAGAAACTATTGAGTGCATACAGTCGCCATTTATTAAAAAGCCTTTTGTAAATCTAAACTTCTATGAATGTTTTACCTTTTCCTAAACATAAAACTCTAAATAACTCACCCGTTACTAGCACAACTCGTATCAACTGGCTCGTATGCTCGAGTGAGATGAAACACGATAGCCATATTTCAAAACATTCTCTACGTTTTTCACCGAATGCGGCATACTGGCCTCATATACAAGCTAATGAAAATAGGATTACTTTAAATATCTTCTCAACAGAGTAAACCTAAAGTAGCCTTAGGATGTCTAAATCTTAATCGTTGTACTACATTTAATATCTTTGTAAGAAAATAGTGTCAAACAAATAGAAAACAAAAAACAATTATAATAGTCATTTACATCTTATTAAGAAAACACATGATGCTAATTATGATCTTCACATTTTACACAATTCAGTCATAAAATAAGTCACCATGCAACATTTTTTTAACGCTAACATCGTTACTTCTAGCTCCAGAAAAATACGAAGACCTGTGTGACTTCAGTAACGAGTGTAAATTCCTGGGTGCTGCTGGGGAATGCATTGATGGGCGCTGTCTGTGTCAACAGTTTTCCGGCTGCAAGAGAACGCAAGGTAAGTGAAATGATCCTTGTTACACGCACCTCCACAATAGCCGCATGCCAAAATGAAGAAAAAGCTCCTGGAAAGGGCAGCATTTACGTAAAATCCTGAATTAATGGAGAAATAGTTCAAGGAAAATCCTCATGTGCTTTCGGTTGTTAACGCAAAAAACCTTCCATTTAGGGAGTATTAGAAACAAGCGAAATGCCAGTAGATCTATTTATTTATAGTGTTCCTGATTAGATATTTGCGATGTGGTCAAAAGGAACATGAAATAATCATCCGTAACAAGAATTAAGGAGTATGGAATATATGCTTTATAGTAAATATATATCGTAATTTTTACGTTGTGTTTGATTATATTTTCGTCCCACTAACTTTATCACGATACGCAGCAAAATTTCGACTAAAACTAGGCAAATTAATGTCATTTCTTTCGTAAATGTATTATCAAATTTCAAACTTTTCTCTCAAAAAATAAGTTACTTCTAAAATTCCTACTGGACTTTTGTTCACATTGTCTTCGCTGTTCCTTATGAAACATTACTTTAAACGAAATAACTAAATACTAAAAATCCGACTGAGACACTGACGAAAATGTAATAATAGAAATTATGTTTTCAAGAACTTTCCTGTTGCATCTTCGAATCCCATTGCAATATTTACTCAACTTCAACTATTCCAGGACACGGACACACACGTCCGGAGTTCTGAGATTAAGATTTCCGCTTTCTCAGTGACCACAAAGGTTATTCACGCAATGACGCATGCTATCTGGCATTTCCCGGGCACTACTTCACTGATGACACACACCTGAACTCAACTTTCAGGGTCAAATTCAGTGAACTCTATTACCCTTCCTAACACAAATAATTTTTATTGCACAATTTGTTCTATTTGGAACATTTGGTGAAATGTTTAACATATGAATAATGACATACATATAAAGATATGGCGAAAGATGAACTCTTTGGTGCATCTTCTGAATTCAAACATTAATTTAAGTAATACATTAAATACGACATACATTTTATGCGACAAATCTATGAATTAAATCTAACGGTATATTTATTTTTATTCTGCGTTTTTCTTCACTGTTGTCCATTATCTTACAGGCTAAGTGATTAGAGTAAACTTGGAGTCTGTCTTGATATTTTCTGTTATAGTTGGTAAAAGTTCCGTACACATTTGGAACCTGCAGATCATTATGCAGAGTTTAGTTAGAAATATACCATGGTACACCAGGTAGGATTCTGAGGACTTTGGACTGATATATTTATAGGATCTCTACATTGGATTAACTGGCAGTGCTTCGTAATTGGATGCCATAAAACCATTTTTGCTTAAGGATGGCTTTGTATATAAGTATTTTATTTTGGAGGGAGAGAAGGGAGTTTCTATCTATTATCCAGTAATGTTTATATAATTTGATAATTATTTATTTTATCTTTCTTTCGATATGATTTTTCCATGTGAGTCTCCGGTCTAGATGCATGCCCAAGTATTTAACGTATTCAGCTTGTCGTAGGTACATATTATTAATTATCATAGCAGTTATTGTTTTTACAAAGAATGTTACTTGAACAGATTTTTATTCGTTTGGTTTTAAACGCCAGGTATTGAACCAGGATGCTATGTTATTGAGGTGGTTTTTCAGAGTTGTTGATGCTTCTTTTGGATACCATGTTTCCAGTGTCGTCTGCATACGTTACTGTCATCTGCTTGCGGTAGATCAGCTGTAAGTAGGAGATAAAGTTCGGGTCCCAGAACGCTTCCTTGTGTAACTCCGGAATTAATTGGATGGAGAGTAATTAAGCTTCACTTGGAAATACCTGTCTGTTAAGTAGAAGTTTCTTGATTTAGTAGAAGCCCTAGACACTATACTTTGTCGAAAGCTTGGCTGACGTCTATAAAATCAGCAGAATTGAGTGCAAAGAACCTTGCTTTTCTTCTAATACTTTATTGATCATGTCGACTACCCTGTGTACCTGTTCTATTGTGGAATGCATTTCGCGGAAGCCAAATTGATAACAAGGAATAAGCTCATATTCATCCAGGATTGATCTTAGTCTCTTTAGCATTATTTTTTACAAAATTTTTGACAGGCGACGAAGTAGGCTGATAGGTCTATATGACAAAGTTTCGGGTGCAGACTAACAAGGTTTAGAAATGAGAATGATTTGGGATATTTTCCACTGTGAGGAGAAATAACCTTTTCTGAGAACTGCATTTAGTATAGGGGTGGTCAGGGCAGTAGCTTTCTTGGGCAGGTTCGGAAGTACGAAACCTGCTATTAGATCATAACCAGGGGTTTTCTTCAAAGGAAGATAGCATGTTATTTCTTGTACTTCTTTTGTTGAGAAATGATGGATGGGAGTGATAACTGATACGGTGGTTCCAGATAATTAGTGATTTCTTTGTCTAGCGAGTGAGCTGCTGCTGAATCCTTACGAATGGAATGGAAGACCTTTGCCAAGTGTTTGGCAATGATATCTGATTTTTCTTTGTCGGTTTTGGACCATCTGCCATCGGGTGTGTGGATTGGGAGTATTGTTTTTTTAATGTGCTTGTCAGCTTTCCACAGAAAATAATCAGTGGTTTCAATAGGTGGATGTGTTTCGAGATACAGCCGAATTTATGTATTTTTTAAGAACTTTAATTTTCTTTTGAGCTGCCGAGCTGCTCTATTGTGATTTTTCTTGTTCTCTGCAGTTTTGTTTTGCTGCCATATTGCCTTTAGATTTCGTTTTTTGTATACTATTACTTTAATTTCTATTGGGTCGTCATTATTTATTTTAGTTACAACAGGAGGTGTCGGTCGCAAATGCCGCTTGTTGAATGTTGCTAGTTAGAAATTATACAGCGCCATCTATATCATCTGCAGTTTTATTCTTTCAGTTGGTATGTATGAAATAATACATTATTTCTACGATGTTATACCAGAGATTTGTAAGCATTGCAGATGATTATTCTGCAGTCATTATCGTTTGTTAACTTATAACCGTATTCACAGTTGTGTATGGCTTTTTCAATGATAGCTATCATTCCCTGAATGCAGGTTACTCCCGGCAATGTAATTGGTGGTGGCTTTGGCTCATGCTGTTTTTCCACTGGATCAGGTGAATGATCTTCCGTGGCAACACAGTGTAGCTCTTCAAATTTGTTCGTTGCACTAATCGGTTTGTGCTTCACATTACGATTCATTACATCATTGTTTTTTCGTTATGTCTGACGAGACTTCACCACTTGCTATGTTATTCAGATATTTTCTGTTGCCTCTCTTGAGTCATTAATCTGATTCTCTACATTATCAGTATTTGTGGGCGCTGCCACCTGTGACATTGGTTGTGACGCAAAGCTAACACTTGGCGGCCATTCATAGCGTTGGCTGTTTAGTACTTGCGTTGGTAGAGCCTTAATGTCCATCAGTTGCTGGTATAATTGTTGCAAATGTTGCTGTGGTTCTTGGAGTTGTTGCTGTTGTTGAAGTAGTTGATGCTGTTGTCGTTCCATGATGAGTTGTTGATATTCAATGGAGCTGGACAAAGGATCCTTTATGGTTTGCATCGCTGTTGTTATGCTCTGTCCGAGGTCACAGCACGTTAATTAATTTCGTTGTTGCTCACCATTAGTTTCACAGTTTGAATTACTACAAAGTAAACTTAAATCACTTTGCAGGTACTCGTTATACAGTAATTGTTTTAATATCACTGTTAATTAATTATTCACTTGTTTTATTTTAACTGGAAAGCACAATATTTCAACGACACTTCTTATCATGAAGTACAATGAAGTTAGCACAGCTGCGGACACGTCCGTATAGGACCGCGGAAAAGCGAGAACTTCCGAAACAGAATGATGTGTTCACTTGACTTTTAGTATTTAATACATATGAAATGAATATAAGTGTATATAGCTAATTGTTACCCACGTATGAGTAATTATATCGACGAGACCTCCTGTTATTAAGCATGTAATCCTGTATATTTTTGTTCGGTTGTCCTTACACCGAGTATCCTAACACTGTGCTGACGTGTTATCAGTCTTACATTAAACATGATTTAGATTACAGTCAACTGCACCCAATTGTAGTACTGGTGGGATTCATTGAAACTTTTAACTTTCGCAGTGTCCATTGGGAAAGAATGTTCTTTTGAACATATGAGATTGGCCATAAGCGTTGGGGAATATGAATCTTTTGTGATCGTCGCTGGCTTTTCACGTATTACCTTCATTCAATTAAATATAACATTGAAAATACAAAAATAGAAACTAATACGTTCGTATAAACTATTTCAATAAACAGCTAATTTATTATACAAGTGCCAGATACCTAATTCAAAATACATATGAAGAGGAAAATGGTATACAAAATACATTATTTTAGATAGCAATGGATATATTTTATCCGTATACTCCACATGTCAAAATCCGTATAACAGTTTTTGTTGAAATAGGAGTAATTGGTTTCTTCTGTATACATTCAAATTGAGTGAATAAACGTTTCCTATAATTTAAAATGATACAAGAAAAATTACTCTAAAAGTGTTCTGCTATTTTATTACTCCCTCAACACTTCCAGATTAATTCTGAATAAAAAATGATTACAATATTCCTCTCTGGATAGTTTTCGATTTTTCTGTACGAATTTATTGGTGTTCATTTTTCTGTTTTCAATGTTATGTTCTATCAAAGGAAAGCAATATGCAAAAAGCCAGCGACGATTCTCAAAAGCTTCACATCCCCCAACGCATAGGAGAAGCTTCATAGCTTGTCCAAGAGAGTGCGCATGCCCCAACCGACTCCCTCCACTATTCGAGTATCACCGGCTCAACGTGTAGGCGAAGCGCCAGGAATTCCTCTGCAGCCATTCGGGCAACTCGCGGCTCGCGGGCCGAGAGTCAAACCAATCTAACAGGAAATTCCTCCATCGCGCGCTCGTTTCCAGCGACTCCGCGCCCGGCGCGCCTCTTGCCGTGCGTGGGCGACGGCTGCCGCCCGTCCGAGGACCCGCCCGCCGCCGGCTCCACGGCCGCCTCCGCCGCCCTGGAGCAGCTGCCGCCGCCGCCGCCGCCGCCTTCACCGGAAGCAGGTGAGAGCTTCTCTCAACGGCCCCTCGCTCCCTCGCCTTGACATGGGCCCTGGGGCACTGAGGAACTTAACCCGACGGTGACGGGCGCTGTCGCTCCACGTGGAGATCGGGAGAGGTGGCTCACCGCATCAACTGATGGCACTGCAGTGCCTCTGACCGGCAGCTCCTACGTTCGAGACCCGACCGTTGCAGGATTTTACACAAGTTTGCCAACAAGGTCGAGTTCAGTCGCTGTCTGAAGGAGAATTCTAGCTGCCGGCTGCTCTGATCGGTAGTTTTCCGTGGTTTCTCCGATCAACGCCAGGCGAATGCCGAAGCAATCCACTAACAAACGGGTCACGCGATCTTTCTATCCTCTTCCTTCTCTTATTCTCATTCTTCTTACATACACTTACAATAACTTACTCTGCACTACCACACATGCCGGGAGACGGGTCGGAAGCTTAGAGCTTGTCCTACGGGGAAGGTGCCCCGCTGGTGAGAGATACCTGGTTAGGCAAACCCCGCTGGCCGACCCTAAGTCGGCGCCGAATATCGCCATCGAGCGAGCGAAGACAACCGCCACCTCTAGACGAAAAAACTTCGCTCATGAGACGAATGACATTAGCAGTTGCCCCTCCCGGAATCACTAACAAACAATTAATCCAGGTGTAGTGTTGCACAAGATCTGTGTCACTAATTTCCAACGCGCGCAGAAATGGAAAGAAAACCATGCAGCCTCCGCTCATGTGAGAGAAGTCTGTGGTTTCCTTAGATACCCAGGAACTCGACAAATTAACCTGTTACGATTTAGAGTAGAAACAATTATAATTTTGGTAGTGTTATTCCGTCTTTTCTCGGACTTCGGTACCAATTGAATTTTTATTCTCGGCTCGTCGCTGCTCACGACACAGATGAAATGCGACAGTAAGATCTCAAACAACGGAATGTCCGCCAGTGAATATTTGCTATTAATTTCTAGGATTGTGAAAAAGTATTTTTTTATATTTGTAAGGGAAATAACTGTTGTTCACTATACACTACTAGTAACATGCAGCAGCAAAAATGCTGCTTAAGAAAACTGAACAAAATGGTTTTTGCAAAAAAATACAACACACACTGGTCAAGAACAACAAATAATATACTCTCGTATAACTGCAAAAAATATAATATTTTAACCAAAATAGTCTACACACATACTGCAATAATGTAGTACAATATTCAAGGATATTCAGTTCTTTATATGTCAAGAATATAAAAAGATTGCTGATACCTAAACACAACTCATAAGTAACAAATATTTAAGGGTGGGTGGACTCTTCCTAGAAGCATTGCGGTCGACGTCTACATCAGCTGTAAATATCAAAATACAGTCGCTACGCGCAGAGTGGAATAATACCAGCATATATTTGCATTTTCAGTCAAAATTGACACTTTCATTGTTTTCGGATTTTGCTCAATTTCTAAGTAACTACATGAACGATTAAGAACACTCACACGACCGGCGACTTTATAGTAGATTTCTTTCAAATTCTACGGGCATTGAAAATTACTAACGATACTATTTTATTACAGTATTCGTGAAAACTGTTTTTGTTACAATATTGGATTTACTTATGATTTGTTTTATTTGTCGCTCTTGCGCTGTGTGCGAGCTACTTTTTGGAGCTAGTTCAGGAGCATTTTCGCTGCTGCAGACGACTTGTAAATTATAATGTAAAGGCTTAAGTTTGAAATACGGTTAATTCGGGAATTAGTCTGTTAATTCGAACAGTAGCTAACCGTTAAAGCAGAATGCACGGCGATGAGTCGATCTTTTCCTTCATCATTCGGCTAATGTTACCATTAGGCACAGGTGTTGGCTAAGATCATGACCCGCGAGTAAAATGTCTTGTACCTTCGGGAGGCGTATTTTGGCAAATGCGCAGTGAAGATTCCACACATACACAGAGGTGAGGTGTGATCGAGTAAATGTACATAGAGATCATGTAAATAGAGCAGAAACTATTCATGTGGAAACTATACTTACACGTTGTCTCTCACTAGCTTTAGAAACTTCCCACCAGCAATCTGATTCCTGCTTATCACAAATTAGTTATTTGTTGTCACTATCCAAGCAATCACGTTTAAATAGGGGAAACTTCCCTGGCGCAGTAACTCGAAGTAGTAGTACTAGTAGACGCAGTATGCTTCAAAGCCGTACCTACTTCGGCCGTAATAAACATCTAAAGTATATAGATAAATGGAACTCGTGTGGCATGTATTTTATATATGGCGGCTATTAAAACGTTGAAACGCTTAACTACTTCTAAAGTCACTTTTTGTGTTACCTACTAAGTTAATAAAATGCATGTAAATTTCAAGCAATTGAATATAATGCATGTAAATTGTAGAGGCAAATTTCAACTTTAGAGAAGAACGTATACATACTATTTATACTTGAATGGTGTGTGAAGGGGTGTGAGGAGTATGAATTAAATTTAAAGAAGTAGAAATATTCTAGTAGTATTAACACAGGCTAAACCAGTAAAGTTGAGCGGGATCTGTACTTTGACATAAACTGTTTTATGTTCATCGCGAAGGCCGCAGACCGGAGCCTTGCCTTGTGAAAATGCTGAAGGGTAGCGAGCAAATTGGACAATCAAATTAGCAATGCCATTGATAAACACTATCTTAAATTAGCTACTCACAACTTGTGTAATCTCTGCCATCTAAACAGTGTAACTCGCATGCGTTCCATTTATCCACTGCTTTAATTTATCGTCAGAAGGTAATCTTTCTTATGTACAGGGCTCGGAAACTGATTTCATGTCTACTTTTCATTGGTGCATTCTATATTGGCCTAACTTGTAAATGAATGTTAATCATGACATATAAAGGATAGAAATGTATTGTTATTGTGTCATTTTTAACATTATTCAATTTTTAGATCATAGGTTTGGACCTTCCCGTCATTTTGCCATTTTTACACATTTCGTTTTCTTTTTGCGTTTTTTGTTAGTAAATTTGTCACGAATTTATAATGACACACTAAAACAAACTTTTTATTGTATCATCAATTCGTCTAAACTCGCTGCTGCAATGGACTTTGTTTATCGAACTCTCAAAATTACACGGATCTCCGGTAACTTTTTCTCGACCCTTCAAAACAAGATTGGAAGTTCGGAGCTAAGGATTACATTTCCTCCTAAAATGAAGACTTTATATTTATTTAAAAATGAAAAATTCATTGAATAATTAAACATTTTCGTACGCATTGTTGAGTACTTTTTTATTTAGGTAATTTTCCTCTTATTTTTAGTCATTTTATAGCTCAATTTCAAAGAATTTTAAGATCACCAGAAGCCGATCCCTGCTGATGTATTCCTCAACCTGACAACGCGCAGTCCACTAGTGTCTCATCACGGATTATTGTCTGGCCCTTAATGGCAAGGAGCCTCAACAGCATTCTACGAACACGAACAGTAAAATATTTATGTTCGGACGCACAGCAAAGCAGAATAAATATAATTTTATTTCAGAAGATGCAAGGCAAAACAATTGATTTGTAACAACGCCAGACCGTTGCGTCCATAAGACCACGGAAACACCGGAATCGCCCTCGGCTTTCACGGAATCGCACGCGCGAGCCTCGCGCCCCTCCGCCCGCTGCAGCTCGCAACGGGAGGAACCTTTCAGAACCTCAGGAACCTTAGTTGTGATTGGCCACTGCTATCCCCCCCCTCCCGCTGAGCGCACGAGAACTCGCGATCTGGCGAAGCTCCCGCCAATCCCCATCCGAAGCCAGCAGCGCACAAGCCACACGTGTGATCCATGTTGGCGTGTAATTGACGCACGTAAAAGTTTTACTGTCCATCCTCGGGCTTTTCTCAGTTGGTAGAGCAATTTTCAAGCGTACCGTCTGTGTAGTGTAGGTTATCTGCATCAGACCACTTGGACTTTCAGTTCTTGTGCAATCTCGGGATGTTCCCGGTTAGCACGCGTGAAGTCGCATCCGTTCGTGCGAAGTAGGACTCCACCCAATTCGAGCGCGGGAACAAATTCTACTTGTGCTGTCTGTGTAATGTAAGTTATTTGCACTAGATCACTCGCACCAGGAAATTTACTAGTACAGAGCTCCAGCTATCATGTACTGTGATGTTGTAACTGTGACATGTAAATCAAGTGCTTAAGTGCAGTGATTATGAAATGCAGTTCTTAAGAACTTCCTTTCTGTAAATCCAAAACTCCTACATAAATCCTTCCCGATCTATCAAAGGGCTTCGGAACTGATGCGCTCCGCCTTCACGTCATCAGAACAGTCCACTCAAAACATCCACAATTAGGCGCAGTAGCCCGAACAACTTACACCATAAAATACTCTTAAACTACTGACATTTAACTTTTTTCAAAATAATGAAAGGTTCTGTAGTAATGATCAGTTCAGTAAATAAATAAAAATAATGAATTTAATATTAATATCAATGGATGATGTTTCCATTCTCTCCGAATTGTAAAACGTTTCACTTTTAACTACAATTTATCAGAATGTAGTTGTAGCAATATATTTGTTTTAATTTTGATGAATGCTACATTTTTGTCTGTCAATTGAAAATGAACTATAAAGAAGAATGATCAACTTTTTAACAACACTTTGCAACAAAAAATAAAACGTGTTAATGGAAAATGTCTCCCGAGGAAACGAACTCAGAAACGTTAGGATTTTGCAACGCAGGATAAGTTTTAATCAAACTCCAATGAGGTACAATTCTTTGGTAGGATATCCTCACGGAAATACAGGAAATTGCGGTAGAGATAAGACCGTATTTAACTATCATTAATGTGATAGCTGCAAATGCACGCATTTGTTTTGTTGCAGGAGCTGTATCCGTATCCGGAACGTCATTGGCAGTTCTGCTACTCCATTTTATTGCCACACGGATTGCGTAGCTAACCTTAAATACAATAGTATTTGACTGAGCAACAGATGCAATGTTAATATATATTACAAAATAAGAGTTTGTATTTGAATTTCGTGTGAATCTCTATTTATGTACTGTGTTAGAATGATTTTGTTTGCATGAAAAATGTAATATACTTTTCAATTTTTATTCTACCTGTTTTACTTACTATTTTGGTGCTGCAAAAGTATGATTTCTCAAAAATCAAAAACAACCTATTTAATAAATAAATTTTTAATAAATAATTTATAAATAATAATTTATTTTTAATAAATAAATAGCCAGTAGCCAACACAATTCTGATGTTTCTGAATTACGACTCAAAATCATACAACATAACGTTAAAGATCTGAAATATTTTGTAGTTAGTTAAGCATCCAAATGTTTCCAAAGCATTCCAATGTTAATTGAATTGCAATATGGATTTAGTAGTCCTTCATTTGCAAAAAACCCACATGCATAACACGTTAATTTGAAACATTTAATATTTCATTCCATTCTACCCCTGGAGAGTACTCAGCGCGGGTGTGGTTTTTCTGCTATTTTTCATCATTCACAATTAGGCGTTAAAATTCCCTGAAGCTATTTCCAACAACTTTCCCTCCCAGAGCACAACGGGCACGTCGCAGAGGACAACTACGCGGAAACACGGCGGCAGCGACGGCCAAAAGAGGACCGCTCGGCCCCTGTGCACCTCACAATACTCTCCACCCACCCTCCATCATCATCCCTTCTTCACTTTTTGAGATCCTTCAGGTGCTGCTCCCTATCAGCCATAAACAATCATTAAACGTCATCTACCAACAAACAATCATTACTCATCAATTATTTCTTGTCTATTACTTCAATAATGTACCGTCCAAATCAATCGACAATCAACAACGGACAACCATTAATCAATGGACAAACTCCAATCAATAACGGACAACTATCAATTAAATAGATCAATCGTCAATAAATAACGGTTAACCGCCAATCAACCGTCAACCACTTAGCAAGATTAGACCGGTGCTTGGCACCTTGTAAATAAAATGTGTTTTCTTTCCCCCTCCCGTTGCATTCCCAGCCCTCCGCCAATATTTGACACTGGAGGAAACCGTCAACGGACAATATGTTCCTTCAAGACTGGTGGCTGAAGGGTACTTCGACAACTCGACAACCGAACCCTTTAGAAGCTCTACAAAATCCACGGTAATGCTGAATATGAGATACCTCGGACAGTAAAAAGTGGTCGAGTCAATGACTTTCTTTATCGTATACTTCTGCCTATATGAATCTCTAGGGTTTGCTCTACAGAATATCAAAGTGACATGAAATAAAAAGTATGTTAAAAGAAACCCGCGTGTACATTTGTGAATGTTCGGGAGTGGAGAGCGTACACATAATTTCTATGTTTTCGGGAGAGCTTATAATTAGCTATGATCTGCTGCCCCGCTGCCCTCGGAGGCACGTGCGGACTGGCCCTAGAGGGCGAGGGCCGGTCCCGTCGCAGGGGAAATTAGTCAAATGCGAGTGAAACACGCGGCTCGGCGTTGCGGTGACATTCGCCAAGGAGATTAACCCGTACGCACGCGGTAAATGCCATTAAACACCTCTCAATAATCTGTTTATATTAATACTTGTATGTCGAAAATGTGCGGTTGCAGATTATTTTGGAAGCGAGAGTAAAAACCCGGATTCGCTAGTGGCTTTAAGCCTTAGTTTCATAAACTATGTGTATGGTACAAACGGCTTTGTCAACAGTTTTGAAACGAACCGCTCACCGATACCAATTCGTTGTAAAACTAAAATATCTACGAATTTACGTTACGGAGTTCATATTGGAATTAAAACAAGAATTAATTCAGGAAAAGAAAACATTAAATTAATAGGGTCAAAAGACATGAAACAGTTGCAAAACTTCAAGAAAAATACCCAAAAATATATTTTCATCTTCGAACTGCTTGTTTAACTAAGAGGGGAGTATGTTCAGGGGAAGAATATAATTAGGGGTTACGTTTGTAACTTTCTTCTTACGGGAAGAATAAAATTTCTACATTATGATTCTTTTATATCTTCCAGTTCAATGCTTCTGAAAAAATACTTCTACTGCAAAAACTTCAAAAGTCACTTAGAAACTATATTAGAAGTGAAATTCGATGGCAGTTCATAGGAATAGTTAAGTAAAATCACATCTGTTCTGTCGTTTGTTGCAAATGTGGAACACCACTAATCGGAAAATTTGCCCTCATTTATAATTCGAATTTACTGTGAATTTTGCACGTGATGTAAACTACTTCAGTTGAATTACGGAAAACACATCTATTTTTTCTGTACTTTATAACACACAATGAGAAACATAGTGCCATTTACTAGTGTCTTATCAAATGTACTAAACATCCTTTTTAATCATATCTCTCTTTCCAAATATGTCGGCCCCCGGTGTCACAGCAATAATGTAAACATTAAATGTTATGGCAAATAATAAAAAACATTTATGTGATACTTTGGTGATATAGTCATGAGGTACTTCTCGATGTCGTGCCTATATTATGCAGCCAGCCTTCACAAGTAGCGCGCCTTCCCTTCCACGCGTCGCGCGTGTCATTTGCAACTGCAGCAGGCCCAGGGCTTCAGCGCCCTAAGACTCCGAGCCCTCCCCCGCTGGCGAGGGCTGGTTCCAGGGAAGGCTCCTGCGGCGCCGCACAAACAGGAGGGTTCTCGCACTGCGCGGAAACCACCAAGTCAAACACGCTGTGTGGCAGGGGCGGGGCTGTAGAGAAGGCGGTGGCGGTGACAGTGGAAGTGGCAGTGGCAATGGTGGTAGTGATGGCGGTGGCTGGAGCCGAGCGGCTATTGTATTTCCTGACCTTGTTTTAGATCAGCGATAGATGTCCGAAAGGGTAGGGATGGTTACACAGCAGGGAAGCGTGGCAGCATTACATTTCGCGGCCTCATAGCGAGCGGGGGCGGGAGCGCGGGCGAAGTCGAGAACGGGGGTGGTGATATTGATAGTGTCTTTTCCACTGGTGATGGTAGTAGTGATCGGAAGGCAGCACTGGGAGAGGAAATTTTGTCAGCGAAAAATACTTCAAAGGGAACAATGTGAAGGGTGGAGATTTTCTGGGACCAAAGGAATGGAATGGTGTTTTCGTGGACTGGAAGAAGAGGTCAGAGTATGAAAATATTTAGATCAAACCCGCACTAGTATAGAGCGTTGAGGTGGACAGTACATGATGATGCACAAAACTCGAGATAAAGAGTCAATGGGCAATTGTCCGTGTTGGCAATCTGGGCATTCCGGGCAATGTGGGTAATGAGGCAGTTTGGGCAATTGGGTTCGTGTTTGCAATCTTGCAAACGCGAGGTTAAATTTGTAGTACGGTTCTTTACAGAAGTAACGATTCTGTGTAACTCTCCGTATTTACAGCTATTGTTAAAGTTGGCGAGGTTAATGGGTAGCGAGAATTACATTACAATTACATTTTAATACAACAGAGTGAAGGAGAAACGAGAAGAACGCGACGTCCCAACCAACGGTGTGCTTCCACTGGGGGACACTGCAGCATTATCTAAATCTGTTCCAACAACTTTAACTTCCTACAAAATGGAACTAAATGTTTGAATGTAAACAATGATTGGAAGTAAACGATTTTGAAAATATACATGATATATTTGTTATATACACGATTTCACACATATTATTTTATGTACATATAAAACTAGATAAGTGAATAAAACTAGAAAACACTATATTTGATGCAAATTGCCATTTTTCACAAATTAACTCATGATAAGAAACTATGCTGGCGGAGAAGTAATGTTGGCATTGCTAAAGAATGACAGAGCGGGAAGAACTGTGAGGTTAGAGAAACCGAGCACTAGCAGGTCATGAGTTGGAGTAATGCGGTCATTTCATCATTGTGATTCATGTGAAGGGGTGTCGGTGGCGAAGAGATAATGTCTGCAGAGCGTGGGTGTTCTCGTGGTGGGAGATTTAGCTTAAGCAGCAACGATCGAAGATAAGGTAGCTTTGGATAACAGATGGCAGAAGTGCGAGAGAGCAAAGAGAACAAAGTTGTAATATTACCGAGGACATTAATATTGATAGAATACTGTAGTTTCCCTAGGAAATCAATAATCCAAGAACGTATTTTATTAATTTTTCAATGCAAATTTACCGTTTTTAATGATTAATTTTTCAATGAAAACTTGCAAACTGTTTAGAGGATGCAAATATTTCAGTAGGGAAAAACGGATGAATAAAAATGTTAGATTAATTATGAAAGCAATAACTGAAATAGAGAAGGGATATTCCCTAAAGATACCTGATATCGAGTGCGCTGATTAATTCACTAGTGATTCCAGGCTCATCGATGGCTAAGGTAATTAGTCCCGTAAGTGTAACGCATGGTTTCATCGTAACATGTGGTGGTGATCTTCCGCTGGATGGTAAGATCCAGCACTGCTTTGTCCGTCGGCTAGCGGGTTTTCTTCAACCAGGTATCTTTCACCAGCGGGACACCAGGGTGAACCGCCCGAGGCGGGACAAGCTCCAAGCATCCAACCATATTCCCGACATGCGTGGTAGAGTAGTGCATGCCTGTGTGTAAGAGGTAGGTTATAACTAGGAATGGGAAGGAATTATCGCGCGTGGCCCGTTCGGAAGGGCACTGCTTCGGTATTCCCCTAGAATTGATCGAAGAAACACGTAAACTTCCCGATCAGAGCAGCCGGCCACTGGAATTCTCCGCCAGACAGCGAGAGAACGCGACCGAGCTCTGTGGCTAGTCGCGAAAGCCTGCCGCCGTCGGGACTCGAACCCCAGAACCCCCCGATCAGAGGCGTTGCAGTGACGGTAATTGATGCCCTGAGCCACCTCAGCTGCTCGTGTGTGTTGACAGATTGGGATGCGCCTTGACTCGAATTTAAAACTGACTTCTTTGCTGTTGGCAGAAAGATAAAATTATATGAAAAAGCTGTTTTTGCGATATTTCGTTTACCGGTAGACCTCAAAATTTAATTGTTATTCCATGAGGTTCTAAGTGATAATATTTTTTTTTATAACTTACTATTTTGTTTTCGGAGAACGAGTTAACGTGTCTAATATGTCCGTTGACTTCTTATTAACACCTGTAACGGAAATTGACTTTTTTCTTCGTCTCCATGAAAAGCATATGTGAAAGTGAATTCGCGAGTCTATCAGATCGTGGGCGGAGTGTGATGTTGGAGCGACGATGTGATGGAAATACGAGTAGGTCGTCGGTGGAGCTGTTGCATCAACCCAGACGTGGCGGAGTGTAAGAGCACACCTCCCATCTAAAAAAATGCAAAATCCGGTGGTGACTAAATAACTGGAAAGCCAGGGACTCAACGTGCATATACAGAGATTACTATAATTCACGTTTATCTCATGGATCAATTCTTTCGGTAGACTAACGAACGCTACTACGGTTTAATTCGATTCCGAAAGGAACATTTCTGAAATTAAGTATAAGTGTGGGTTCTTTTTTCTAAATAACTTCAGAAAATGTAGATCTTTCGAATAATATTTAACACTAATCGTTCTATTCGTAACATTGCCCATTAGAACCTCGTCATACTCGTGAGTATCAGCAGCTGGCAGGTGGCTCCGCAACAACATCTATTCTCGTTGTAGCCACCCTGACCTGGAGGTCTTTCGGTTTGAATCTTAACGTTGGCGAATTTTGTACACAAGCTTTATTGCTAGATACGCAGCTACTGTTTGGAGGAGATTTCTAGACGCCTACTGTTACGATTGATACTCCGTGGTATCACCAGCTAATG